TCCGAGAACTACTGTGCTTATAACAGTCTCGAAAATTTCGTCTGGAAAGTGACTTTCTTCAGAACGCTGTGGTATAGCAATGAGAAGCACTGACTCCGACTAAAGGAAAGTACTCTTGCCTTTCCGATTTTGAAGAAAACTGCCCATGAAAAACAACGCTTCATTAGCTGCTACGATGCAAAAATAACCAAGGGATGATCTAGTGAGTGTGCTTCACGCCGGTGACACGCACATTCTTTTAGATCTGAAAAAGTGGAGACTTATGACTGTAGTGATGTCACTTCTCTGCGGATGACGTCACAGTATAAGAATTAGCAGAGAAGTAGTGTTCTCTGTCCACCCGGGAACGGGTATGAGGGAGCACGGTGTGGGATAAAAGGAGGTGACGAGTGCAGGGTCGGCCTCTTTTGTCTTTGTGCGGAGAGTTGAGTGAGAGTGCCCACCCACCCACCCCAGTAATCATCATGTAATTTCAGAATAATATATATCATCGCTTTTATTCTTCTAGAGTTGTGTGGATGCATAATGGTCTAATGTTTTGGGAGTTTTTTGTTGGACTAGGCAATGGTTTTGTATTGTCATGACCACGGAACTGTGTGCAAAGACGATAAGTTGGGGCGATGTGCGGTGGTGGCACCCACTGACAATATGGACGTGTTCAATAGTGGTGTACACGTATGAGTGAATGTGCGGATGTGTGCGAAACGAGTGGAGTGCAGGGTGGACAGAGAAATGATTATGTACATACATGTACATGAATGACTGCAGGGTCAGCTCTGACTACGATTGATCTGAGTGCATGACCGCTGACTGATCTGCACTGCATGCATGATCCTCACTTGCGTGTTCATCAAGTTTAGCGACTTTGCTTTGGACCCACATCCGCCAAAAGGTTGGGGGGCGGAGAGGCTGACGCCCCCTTGCCCCCCCCCCCCCTGCCCCGATTCCTACACCACTGCCATGATCCGTGGAACATTTGAATCGAAACACGATTGTACTGGTAAATGATTTGTATTCTCTCTTCCCTTTTCTCACACTCGACAGCGCACTTGTGAACATCACACAGCGCTCTGACTCTACTTTGCAACATTCCAAGCAGAGAACTGCGGATGAGCAGTGACGGCGAAAAGTCACCAAGTCGTCGCCAGTTTCAATCCCGGATCAAGACTCAACACACGCTAGTGTGAGTTAGCGCACCCTTTACTTCAGCTGATCACCGCAGCTTAGCGAAAGCTGACGCCGCAGTTCTGTTGGACCGACAGCAGGGTGGCCGACAAAAGCTACTGGACACTGGCGTACGCATGCACAGTATCTTCACTGTTGCCGAGGTGCTGGCTGTACTGCAGAGCAATGGACGTATTTCTGACGCCCAAGTAGACTCTGTCAAGCAATTTGTCAGGGACAATCAATTTTAGGCGTACGTTCCTGTTCTGCTTTGCTGATACCTGTACGCTGCTGCTGCTGGTTATCTAGAGGTCACGTGAGTGATGTCATCACATGTGCTTTTTGTATGGAGTGCATGATGTCATCCCATGTGCTTTGTATGGAGGACATGCTGTGGAAACCAGTGCTGAATTTGAATTGAAGTTTATATTGAGATTTGAACGGCAAACAGTTTGTATTAAGTGGCAAACGGAACAAACAGTGTTACGAAAGTAGCAGCCATGTCACTGTGGCAAAGCAGCAACATCGCACTGCTGTTTCCCAACACAGTGTCCTCCACCTTGTTTCATGCTGTCAAGCTAACAACAATGACATGTGTGCGTGCGTGTGTGTGTGCGCATGTGTGTGTGTGTGTGTGTGTGTGTGTGTGTGTGTGTGTGTGTGTGTGTGTGTGTGTGTGTGTGTGTGTGTGTGTGTGTGTGTGTGTGTGTGTGCGTGTGTGTGCATGTGTGTGTATATGTGTCAATAGTAAAACAGAACAAAAAGTAAAAAATATAAAATACCGGTACATGCCATGATGCCAGTGACCATGGGAACCATTGACACTGCATGTAGATCTACTGTGAGAGATGCTGTGACAGGCACTGAAGTCAAGAGACTGGTTTATGGTGAAAATACACATATGAAGAATAATTCTACAATCATCGTGCTCATGTAGATGTACATGTACCTCAGTGACAATACCTGTATGCCTCTCTACGTCTACAGCTAGACGTCATTGTTGTTAGCTCTTGACAGCATGAAACAAGGTGGAGGACGCTGTGTTCAGAAACCAGTGACCTTACTACAACCATCCACGGTTGGCAGAGCCCCGGTCCATTGGAACCATCTGACCCATTATGGGTGTTGAACCCGGTTCTGACTAGGCGCCGGCGGATTATGCCGGCAGAAAAATGGTCAGAATTCGCTACTTTTTCTGGTAAGTTTCATGCATGTTTGGTATGTGGATAAAGAAATGGAGCAGAATTGGAGGAATTGCCCGCCATAAGGTTTGTATGGTTCTGCCAATTTCACTGCTTTTCGAGCGGAATCTGCCACCTTTTCGAGCAGAATCCGCCGGTCCCTAGTTCTGACCCTCATTATGCTAGGCGAGTTTAGAGTTACACATGGGACAATGTCATGTAACTCTTGGGTTACCATGGTTACCGGTATGTGTTCTGAGGGTGTAGTCGGAGGCGTCGTTATATACAAGTATAAAATGTTTAGTTATGCCTTATGATAAGACTAAGATGGTATAAACTAACGGACTAAGACTAAGTCATGTAGCATAGTGTAGGCCGCATGTTTTGGCCACGACTAGACTGCACATCTACATGAGTACTATAATTATACAGAAGCCTTGCTTGATAGTTACATGATGACTCATGAGGTAGGAAGGCGTGAAAGCGACCTGACCCTGACCCTGACCTGCTACCATGGCTACTGTAAAGTGAGAAACTTTCGCTAGAGATTAAATTTCGCTATTTTTGTGACCATCACACATTCGCAAATACATGTATAAATCGCCGCAAACCTCTCCGTACATTGATGGTAGACAGTACACAGGTACAAGATCCGACTGAAGAGATAGAATCGCAAAAGTTTCTCATTGTGAACCAGCCCAATTAATATTTATGAAAACGCTAAATTTGCGCGCCGCGAAAGTGTGTCGCTTTACAGTACATGGTTGGGTTGAGCTGAGTCGAGTGGTGAGTGCAACGTCGACGACGTCGGCTGGATCGGAGGCTGGAGCCGGTTGTCTGGCGCGGCCGCGGCTTCATCGTTTTTTCCGTGGCGCGTGATCATGGTGATCTCGACCACAGAGCTAGAGGCACAGACTGCTCGCATCACCATGAAGGCATGATCACTGCCATCATATCAGTGCCTGGACTGATGCTACAGCCTAATACAGGTAGTAGATCTACGTGAAGCATTGGCTTTGCCCATGCCCATGCCATGGTCCCTGCCTGGCCTTGGCCTTGGAGCTGGTCCGAGATAGTTTTTTTTGCAATTTTGGTTTTGTGTCTAGTAGTAGTAGTACTAGTAGTAGTCATGGTAGTAGTACTAGTAGTACTAGTAGGGTGAGTTATTTGGGTTCCTGTTAGTCCGCTGTAGCTGCTGCATGCAGTCAACCTCAGAGTTAGGAACTCGTTTCGTTGCACCCTATTATATCAGTATCATGGCCTAGCTCAGTAACATCTAGAAACAGAAATAGTTGTACAGTATAGAAGCCCAGCGGCTGAGCCACTGTTTGAAACTTTGAAGGCGTGCTGTGTAAGTATAGCTAACGTTCCTTGCGAAGACACCATCGCTCACAAATACTTCATTCAGCAATTCGTCCCACCGTCCGAGTCAGTTGAGTGGAAACTTGAGCTAGCGCACCCTTCACTTCAGCTGATCACCGCGGCTTAGCGAAAGCTGACTGAGTTAGCCCCTCTGCCAGCCTCAGTAGCACGGTGAGTTTCAGAGATGCTTCATGTCTCGCTGCTAAAACATGCATGCTGGTTTACTCTACTAGGAGAGTTCCAAACATATCCAGGGGCGTAGACGTTGGGGGTGGGGTGAGGGGTGATTTGAGTGCCAAAGCACTCAAATTTCCGATCTTGATTCGAGAGACACCATTGTACACTGTCCGTTCATCACACGTGCAACTCTGCAGAACGTACAGTGACTGTTTAGCTGTCCACAATATTCTCAATTGCATCAATTCAATTGCATCCACATTGACTCAATTGCATCCACATTGACTCAATTGCATCCACAAGGCCGTAGATGCATGTAACCACACAATGCTGCTGTACAGTATAACAGGGTTCTAGCCAGGTCAATATAGTGGGAGGCGGGCAGGGGAGAAAGTTACCCCATGACCCATTTTTTCCATTGTCAAAAATTATCTTGCCATGCAAAATGTAACATACCCCTCACAAATGTGCCTTTATGAACCCTCTAGTAGTGACTATCGACTGTATTTTCGTTGAATGGCGTGAAAAAACACAAAAATCGGAAAATGAGTAGGGGCGCGGCACTTTTTCACAGGGGGGCGTGCAAACGGAGTAGGGGGGGGGGGGGCGCTGCGCCCCCCCCCCCCCCCACCCCCCTTTGGCTAGAACCCTGGTATAAGTAGTAGTCGACATGTGGTGCCTTCCTGCTGAACATGCACATGCGGCAAGTTGGCAACGACGCATGACCTATCCGCACCGCACAGCGTGAGCTTAGAAAGTAAGAAGACTTACTGCCTAGTAATATCACTATAGGCGTTAATAGTGTACACATAGTGCTATTTGTGTTCCGATATCGCTTTAGCCGATATACAATCATGTACTAGTATCCTTATACCTGGTCACTCGATAGCCGATGCTGACTGTACTAATCTTATCCATATTGCCCGATAGCACACTGCGTCAGATAACTATGCAACAAAAGAGCTTTGGAGCGGATGTACACTGAAGCAAAGTAGGTTTCAACAGTACGGCACTAGTCACAATGAGGGGAGTTACGAGGACAGTTGGGACACATAAATGATGATTGTTAATGATTCATGCATGGTGGAAATCGACTCGAATGCGGAACTCCGCAAGAGTGTGTGCTTGCGCAAGTCGGCTGCGGCGGCACGGCGGAGTGTGTAAGGTCACCTAAAGTCATCTAGCGGGAATATAGGGCTTGAAAGTGGTACGTCACAGCATAGCAACAATTTCAAAAATTCAAAAACTGGATCCACTTGGATCCAGTTTTTGTATGGATCCAAGCACATTTCAAGCGGTCTTACCCACAGCATGGTGATGTAGCCAGTGAAACTGACTGATTTGGCTACTGGGGGCGGGGTTACAACTGGTGGCGAAATAAAAGTCACACCTGCATGCGACATGAGTGGGTTGCTATGCACCCACATACTTAGGCAGTAGCAAAGTCACACCTTAGTGGATCCAAAAATAGAAATCTGATGTCAACTTTCTACTCCCTGGCCGTTTTGACGTCATCACTTTCAAGCCCTATTCCCGTGCGGGGGCGCGGCCCGTGGCGTGCTGGTTAACTACGGTTTGCGCAACGCAAACCAACATTTCAATCAGCTGTGTGGTGGATACCAGGCTAAAAATTAGTGGCGGTCAATTATAGTGCGTTTCAAAAGTATAGACCTCTAGACTTTTTCGAATAATTCAAATTTGGTTTGAGCTTTTTGAGAAACTTCTTCAGAATATTGCTCAGGCAGCTCACGCAATTTTTCTCATGTGAATTTCTAAGCGATTGGATAACAGACGCCCAATTTCGGAAAATTTTATGCACAAAGTGATCACAGATTTTATGTAGTATTGATGCTGGCCTAACGGTTTTTTGAAACCAGAGGTCTGGACTTTTGAAACGCACTATAGTGGCGGTCATTTCATCAGTCTTGCAAGCTGTTGAATGGTGTAATCCCAGCACAAGTTGCTATGTCCAACAATGTTACATAGCTGTTCGCTATCGTCGCTTCCGCGATGGGCATGTCTGAGGTGAGGTGTGTGTGTGTGTGTGTGTGTGTGTGTGTGTGTGTGTGTGTGTGTGTGTGTGTGTGTGTGTGTGTGATTTCCAATCGAGAGGTCGCGGGTTCGATTCTGGACGATTATGGTCGCACACGTCTTTCTTCTCTTTCTCAGACTCCTCCCGTCTTTCATTCTCCTGGGTGGTTACCAACAGCCAGTTCATGCCGGAGTATGTGGTGTGATGTGTGTGCAGAAAAATATGAAAAAGACCAAACGTAGGGAGTCACTGGCCAGAAAAAGCCTCTTCATAGCTGTGTGGTGTAGACCAGGCTGAATAGTGGCGGTCAATTCTTCAGCCTTGCAAGCTGTTGAATGGTGCAATTCCAGCACAAGTTGCTATGGCTTCTGCTGTAGCATAGCCATCATCGCCTCCTGCGATGGGCGTCAAAAGCTCAAAGGTTAAAGGATAGTGTGTGTGTGTGTGTGTGTGTGTGTGTGTGTGTGTGTGTATGTGTGTCTGTGTCTGTGTGTATGTGTGTGTGTGTGTCTGTGTCTGTGTGTGTTTGTGTGTGTGTGTGTGTGTGTGTGTGTGTGTGTGTGTGTGTGTGTGTGTGTGTGTGTGTGTGTGTGTGTGTCCCATATGGTGCAGTGGTATGTGCAGCGATTTCCAATCGATAGATTGCGGGTTCGATTCCCGACGATTATGGTCACACACGTCTTTCTTCTCTTTTTCAGACTCTTCCTGACTTTTCTTTCATTCTCCTGGGTGGTTACCAACAGCCAGTGCATGCCGGAGTATGTGGTGTGATGTGTGTGCGGGCAAAAAAGAAAAAAAAAAAGACCAAAAAAAGGGGATTCACTGGCCAGAAAATGTCACTCCAAATAGCTGTATGGTGTAGATCAGGCTGAATAGTGACGGTCAATTCTTCAGCCTTGCAAGCTGTTGAATGGTGTGATCCCAGCACAAGTTGCTATGGCTTCTGCCGTAGCATTGCTATCATCGCCTCCGGCGATGGGCGTCAAAGGTCAGGTGTGTTTGTGTGTGTGTGTGTGTGTGTGTGTGTATGTGTGTGTGTGTGTGTGTGTGTCTGTGTGTGTCTGTGTGTGTGCAGAAAACTACACAGACCATGACTGCAGTGAAGAGTGTATGAACCGTGCTACAATAACCAGTTTATCATCGTCCTGAAAGTACTTCAAAATGTCTAACAGTAAGTCAGACCAGCAGTCCACCATAATTGAATGTGCAGTATCTTAGCAACAAGCCTTTGGTTACATGTGATTACAAGAACAAACAAGAAACAAAACTCCTATAGACAACAGACTTGCTATAGAAAGCAGATACCTTGTAGAGAACCAAACCCATTATGGAATGTTTGTTGCTTAAAACCTTTGAGCCGCTGTTTTCCTGCCGACTTGACTTGTCATTTGACTGATCGTGACTGCCATCCCGCAGAGCCGCCCGTATACAAGAAATCCATCAAATGGTTCACTTTGCAAACCTTGGATGCAGGAGGCTACATGATGTTGATGTGTCCAAACATGACCCAGTTGTCATGGTGATTGGTTGTCCAGGATACTGTCCCAAAATTACTAATGATTATCTGTCAATGGGGTTTTGATTGGTCAGACATTCCTGTATATTTGGTTTGTGTCTCTTCGTATTCTCACCAGGTGTCGACGACGTCAAGCCCAGGAAAGGAAGACCGCCCCAACAGAAGGCACTCGCAACAGCCCTGTCAAAGCCAGCTACCGCCGTTTCAACTAGCGTACAGCGTGTCAACTCCAGGAAGGGAGCGCCCAAGAAGGTGCAGGCAACAACAAGCGCTCGTCGTAGTACTCAGCAACTACGACAGCGTCAAGTTGCAAGGACACCGACCAGGAGCTCAGCTGATCAGATAGCGCTGACTAACACTATCTCGAGTAAGTGTGATCCCAACCAGCGTGATTCACACAACCCATCAGCTGAGATAAATCATAGTGCAATAACAACATAAGTGCAATAACAACATATTTTATCATGTCCCCTTCGCATCTGAATGCCATACATAAGAATGTTCCGGAGCACTTTAAGATTCACTCGCGGACGTGCAACAATTGCCACCTAGATGTGCTAGAGGCTGTTTACATTGCCAAGCTACAGCTTGAGCTTTGTAGACAGAAGGAGTTTGTTAGGAACAGCGGTGGATCCAGCGATCTTTACAGGGGGGAATTCCAGTGTAGTCAAAACTGAATAGCTGACACATATACATGGGCATGCATATGGTTTCCAGTAGTAGATTTAAACATTTTAGGGGGTTCCCCAGAACCTCTGGAACCCCTCCTGGATCCACCCCTGAGAAAGCTAGTGCTATTTTCACTTCCCACTTCCCAACTCACACCATTCTAATTACGATAACTTTAAGTACAAAGTAGAGGCGATGGTTCGATACCGGAATGGCTTGACAGCCAAATTTGGATAGACCCAAACCGATCATCAGCGTTGATTGTTCACTCGAAATATGTTTGTGGAAGGAAACTGGCATGTTGAAGTTTGCTCTGAGGCCAGAGTCAATCGAACTGAGCCACTCCTTTGTGTTGACCCACTGCCTCCAAGTTGCCCAATTTTTCGCTTCAAATCAGAGGTGGCTCCAAACCGGAAAGGTTTTAGAGTGCACGTCAAATTCACTCTGAGTTCTGAAATTAGGTAATTGCTATCGCTTCACGATGGCCAGTACAGAGTAACAATAAGCATTGTGTGTGCTTCCATTAGTTTTGATTGGTATGCGGTGCTTTATTGGCGAGACTGAGGCGAGCTGCTGTTTACCTGCGACAAGAAGTTGATTTTTCGAAAGTCGTAAAACTCAAGTCGCAGTACAAAGCAACATGTCAAAAACTCACCTGCTTGGTATGGTGCTTCTGGTCATCGCAGAGCCATACAATTTTGGCTCGGAGTAAAACACATCGTAGTCTCACTGTGATATATGTTTTCTAATCAAAATACCAAAAGAGAAAGTGAATATTGAGTCCGGTCCGGTTTGCAACCCATGTCCTATTTGAAACCGTCGCGTCTACCAGAAACCGGTGTAAAAAATATTCAGCATGCAATGCATACATCTCACTGGTGTAAAAAATATTCAGCATGCAATGCATACATCTCACTGGTGTAAAAAATATTCAGCATGCAATGCATACATCTCACTGGTGTAAAAAATATTCAGCATGCAATGCATACATCTCACTGGTGTAAAAAATATTCAGCATGCAATGCATACATCTCACTGGTGTAAAAAATATTCAGCATGCAATGCATACATCTCACTGGTGTAAAAAATATTCACCATGCAATGCATACATCTCACTGGTGTAAAAAATATTCAGCATGCAATGCATACATCTCACTGGTGTAAAAAATATTCAGCATGCAATGCATACATCTCACTATATCTATTTCAAGTACATACATAGTAAAAATATTAATAATGAAAAAATTCCTGCCCACACTAACTTCACATGGGTCCTGCCCGGAAATCTCGATTTTACTTTGATCTGGCCTTACAGAGAACCAAAGCCATTATAGAATGTGTGTTTCTTGCAACCTTGAGCCGGTGCTTTCCTGCCAACTTGACTTGTCATTTGACTAACTTGTGGGGTGCCATCCCGAAGAGTTGCATACAGGAAATCCATCAAATGTTTCACTTTGCAAACCTGCAAGAAAACACCTCTCCCTGTTAAAAGCACAGCTTTACCGGGAGGTCACCCCACATCAGTTTAGCTTGTTTGTGCTGAGGAAGGGGGGGGGGGGGTGCACAGGGCTACATGATGTTGATGTGTCCAAATATGACTCAGTTGTCATGGTGATTGGTTGTCCAGGATACTGTCTCAAAATTACTAATGATTATCTGTCAATGCTGTTTCGATTAGTTCGACATTCCTGTATATTTGGTTTTTTGTCTTTTCGTATTCTTTAGATGAACCATTTGGTGATCCCAAGTTCATTGCTAATATCTTACCCTGGATCTGTGAAATTGATACAACGAGGTTTCGACATGCTGTGCAGGGCAAATGCGTGTTCATAAGTATAACGGAAATTGAGACATTGCTGCGTCTGGAGAAATACGAAGGAAAGGAAAAGCATAATTCTCACATCATCAGTCTTATTCGTCCTGGAGGCACAGCTGCTTATAAACTACTCTGCAATGCAATCCATGACTTGGGTCCACTGTACAATGAAAAGTACCAAGAAATGCTTCTCCTGTTGCCCGTTGACCAGCGACCAACGGCCAAGACATCCTCTTCCGAGACAGGTAATTGATATGTGTAGAATGGGGAGGGTTTCAGGGTTGTGCATGTATCATTAACAGTCTGAACATGCCCAATTTATACATTGCCATCAACCAAGCTTCTGCTGTCAAGGGAAATTTTAGTTTTGTACCTTACCAGCAGAATACAACTCATTACACCAAAATGTTGTCTAGCTAAAAGCGAAATATACCCCTCTTGCGGCCGCGATTCACAACAGAAGGCCAGCTGTTTAGTTGGAGAGAATACTTTGTTCTTTCTCTCAGGAGAAGACTGGACAACTGACGTATGGCAACTGACAACTGACAAGTGAATAATATCCAGGAAAGTGTTGCACTCATCAGGGCAAAAGTGGTGCGCTTATCAGCACAAAATGTGCACGGGTAAGCAATACAATGCGGTCCCATTGCGGACCAGTGCGAGAAGCGTGTACAGAGCGGGTGACTATAAAGCCTAGTTCACATTCGACGGGGCACGACGGGACGTGACGTAAGGATCAACGAGAAGCGATGGGACAGTCTGACGGCGTCCAATGTGAACACCAGGAACGGGAACGCAGCCGTACTGCCGTACAGATCGGGAAGCGACGGGAAGAGTTGGATCGATCCAACTTTTCATACCGTAGACGGGCGTAGGCGGGGATTCAAGTGTACAAAACAGCTGCATTTTGAGTGTGAACAGGAGACGGCGTTGTGCGCCGACTACTCCCGTTTCGTACTTGGAAATTTTAGCATTTCGAACACTGTGCTTCCCATGATAACTCGCAGAATGGCTAACACGACTTGAGTTGAATTTTAGCAAGATACGGTCTGGTGTCACTAATGGTATTTAGGGATAGTTCAGGAGCGTGGCAGACGAGCTGTTTTATCATTCCCTGGAGCTATAATTTGAATGGCACACCTTTCGAAGCTACTTTTTTCGGTGTTCATGAAAAACTGGTATTGTGAACTTGATTCCGCTTCATTCAAGGAGAAATAATTGAAAAAAGAGTACCGAAAAACAAGAAAATAGGTCCAAAGGTCACCCTGTCATGGGCCGTGCCTTATGACTGGCGTCGTTCGCTGCTGAACGACGCAACGACTGCAGCATGTCGTGTCGTACGAATCGTACAAGATTTTACAGCTCACCCCAGCCTTCCCGACAGGCCTTACGTCCCGTACCGTCAGCGTTCCGTCGAATGTGAACTAGGCTTTATGCATGCGAGTACACACCTGTTGCAAAAGCGCAGCAGCGTGTACCACGATTCAGCAGCATGTACCATGTACCACGATTCAGCAGCGTGTACCACGATTCAGCAGCGTGTACCACGATTCAGCAGCATGTACAACTCTATCCCCCACCGAAAAAGACATCCTCTCCTGAGGATGAAAGCAAAACAAATGAAGCCCAAAAAATTGAAGAAGACAGATCGGAGAAGACAGAAAGATGAAAGAAATGAAAATGTGAATGAGCATAAAAAGGCGAGAATAAAACCCAACATGTATGACCACAATTGTTGGACACGTGACGAGTAGCCGCACACTGGACTCCGCGACGCTGCCGGGAGCGGTGAGACCGAAGGCACTCACGGACCGAGAAGACAGTGGCAGCAGAATCGGGTATCCAGGCATCGTGCAGCACAGGACGCACACTGGACGGTTGACCGAAAAACCACAACACAGCCAATGGAGTTACCAAAACTCACAGAGACACAAAGACGCACACAGAAATAAACATGGACTGACACAAACATCTCAACCATCGCCAAAAATCAGAAAAGAAAACCACACGAAGGAATGGAAGAACAGCAAGGAAGAACACATCGACTAAAACAGGAACAATTAATCAGTGAGGACACCAGATACCACGCAAACAAATCGGTTACCAATACGCATAACAGATACTAAAGAAAAAATCACACTGCGCTGCCCTGAATAGCCCCAGGGCTCAACCCTGACAACCACAGGGATAACACCATAATAACACCGGAAACATTTAGTACATCCGCTTGCAAAGCAAAAAACCAAAACCGTCAGGCACTTATTGTGACGCACATGTGACAACCAGCAACACCCAGAACCCACAACACCCGCAAGGCAAACCGATTCAAATATGAGCATGATCCCTCCACCCCTCCAGCCCACCAGGCAGACTGTGGTTCACCAAGATCGGACGCTCGCCCACCCAGGTGAACTGAAGAGACCCACCTGCCGAAACACAATACGAAATAAGACGTCAACCTGGATCTATAACGAGAATTCTAGATGCATTTTCGCACCTCCCACCAAACCAGAATCTAGCAGCTTTGCTACATTTTCGGCAGTGCATGCCTGAGCACGACAATGCTCCA